CGAGGCTGTCAATTTCCGGTTTGTAATCTAAAATGACTGAAAATTGCAAACTTCGCAAGGCTATATTTTCCGCATTTTACAACATTTTGCAACGAAACGTTGGAATATTACTAATTTTGTGATGCTCTTTCAAGCTGTAATGATTTGTAATGATAATTTGTTGAGATCAAAATTTAGTCTATTACGCAAATGGTCAATTAAAATGAAGTCTGCTTTACCAAATAAAATGAGCAAATAAATAATTGAAATCTTCCATCGTCTGTGTTTATTTAATATATTAAACGCGTAATTATGTCTAGCTGCTAGTAATATTATAAAAATGCAATTTAAAACAATTGAAAAGTACGTATATGAAATACATGTCGGAATTTTTAAATCTGTTGCGAAAATGTGTTCTTTTAAAAGTCTTACAGTTCCTGAGCGAAACTTCTGAGACATGATTGAAGAGAATTAATGAATAATGAAATGAATCCAGTGTGACATTCTAAAGTGTGCGCTGTTTATCTTGCTGCTGAAGGAACTTTGAAAATGCAAGTATGTTAGTATATGACGACAAAATTGATATCCTGTTCTAATGATCGATATTGTGGGAAAATTTATGTTGTGGAAAAATTTATGTTGTAGTACATTTATGTTGTGCAATTCTTCGAGCTGAACATTATGTCTATCAGACTATAAATAAAACCAATTTTTTCCCTCAGTATTTTCCCAACTGAAGTGAGGTATTTAACTATAGCCATAGGTATATAAATAAATAAATCTGATAAATGCCTTAAAATTATGTCATACTTTATATTCAGGTGCATTACAAGAATTCTAGAAGTATTCGCTGCTGAGAGCCGAGGTTCATGTCGATCTCAAACGGTGATGGGTCCAGTGTAGGTAGTATTCTACAATAAGCTGTCGACTGTCGTGGTTTGTGTCTGAACTACTTGAAACTAGCCTGCTCGCAGCCCCCACCCGGCCCAACAATTTGAAAGGGAAACTAGAGATGTCAAACGTGGTGGTCCAGTATTGGTATAGTATTTTGCCGTGGTTATGTGTCTGAACTACCTGAAAAATATTTCTCATAAAATGTCCTCAGTGTCTGCAACATGTAAAAGGGAGAGAAAGAGATTTGTAATAATAAAACACTGCTGCCACTTATACATTGCAGGGAACCAACGACAAAATCCAAACCAACGAACACCAACAGAATACAAGCAATTACACTTGACTTATTCTTTTGTTACCAAATTTCTCGAATATAAATTAATTTTCTTCTGACTTCAACTAAAGATGGATGTATGTACAGGTCAACGGCACGTCAGAATCTGAACACGTCTTTCTCGACATTTTTGTTAATCCAAGCTCTTTTTTACTTCAAAATGTTTTGTATGTCAAAACGGGACCCCCCCCCCCCCCTCGCTATTAAATTTTATCACAATAGAAGTTGCTGAAGGAAGAAAGAAGTAACGAAATATGATTGGTTAAGATTGAGTAAATGGATATCTTATACCGCTAATTGCTATGATTGAATCTGTGTTGACATCCAGGGTGACATATATAATTATCCATAATTAACTGCTGAAGGAACATTGAAAATGCAAATATGACAGCAAAATTGACATCCTGTTTCTAATGAAAAATTTTGTGGAAAAATTTAGGTTGCTTTACATGCAGTAATGCAGTACTATAGTCTTTCTTCGATCTGACTTTTTCAGTATATCAAACTAAGGCCAGGGTCAAACGTTGAACTTTTCATGTGCCGAACCTAATGTTAATGAGCTAAGTACTCCTAATTCCTTTCTTATATGCACAACAAAACCTTCCGAACCGAGCTGAAACACCGCTGCGTATTTCCTGGAAAAACAAGTCTGCACGTGTACTGAACGACTTCCTGCGTTTGATATGTATTACGTCATCTTCGTTCCCAGAGCCTCCAGATTTACTGCGCGGTACAGGATTATAAAAGCGAGTGCCTGTGTTGGAATTGATCAGAAGCTGTTGAAGTCGTAGGAGGTAAAAGTACAACATTTTTTCAAGTGACACTTTCCAGGTAATAATTATGAATGTGAGCTTTCATAGATATAATTTTCCGCTGTAATATCAGGCTAGACAAATTTATGCAACAATTATGACTTGTACTAAAGTCTGGTTTTCCATTTTGTTGCAACAGTGACCAAGGTATATAAAGATAGCCGTTGTGATAGAGTGTTGATTAATCTGTAGAAACTGTAGTAAAGTAGAACCGCTTACTCGAACTAAATCCAATTTCCCCTTGATTTGACACAATTTTTATAGGTCGTGTACTGTTAAACATCATGATGGAGACTGTTTATTTCTTAGGTATAACAATACT